AAATTCGTCTAGTAAATTGGCAAACTATTGAACGTAAATTCGTCTAGTAAATTGGCAAACTATTGAACGTAAATTTGTCTAGTAAATTGGCAAACTATTGAACGTAAATTTGCCTAGTAAATTGGCAAACTATTGAACGTAAATTTGCCTAGTAAAATCGCAAAAAAAAAAACTAAAATAAAATAATTCTGAAATTGGTTCGACAACGCCACCTTAAAGTGTGTTATTTTACCTCTACTTTTGTCATGTGTATCTATGAATGTCAATCAACAAATATTAATTTATTGACATGATGTTTTTAACTCCTTTAGCCCCAAAACACTCATACTGTACTACCGACTATTCCCCACATGTCTCAAACATCACAGAAAGTCTATATTTAAGTTTTGATGAGTTGTGTTGATTTGAGTTGAGTCAAGAATTGACATCAAAGCACTCAGAACATTTCTATGTGTGCTTCGTCCTCATCTTCAGCAGCCAGCGCAGAGTTCCAATACGAATGGTACGGGTCACAATCTGGTTATTTGTCCGTCTTGCCTTTCCTCTGAGTGTAGTGAGCCGGCCTGACCCTCTGGTTACACTCAGGTGCCTCGTTCTCATAATAATCTTGTTTCTCTAATGATTCTGTTGCTTGTTTTCAAAGGGCCTTGACCACACATGCCTTGTCATGTATCAATTCACCACCGAGTGGTGGAGATCCAGCCTATCTGTCTGCCTGCTCATTACCCACAATACCGGCGTAGCCTGGAGAAAAGATCCAATGTATGCTCACTAGCCGTGACCCTCCCAATGAAGCTTACCTGTCTTCACCTTTCTCAGCATGATTTCAGAGTCTGTTACAATTTCCACATGTGTATTCATCCTGTTCTATAGTCATCGGAGATCTGGAGTTACCGCCTCCACCTCCATTCTCTTGCTAAATGTTGTGATGTATTATGTTTTGATCAGCGTGCACTAAACAACTCTGGCAACCATAGCGGTATCTATCGTTCATTTATTTTTCATTCCAGCAACATATCAGCTGGTTAGAGTCTTCGTTGCAATAATTAGTGGAATCACAATGATGTTTGCTTATGCATTAAACATTATAGAACTAAAAGAGTAAAACCCCTCAAGTGTTCCCGGGCGATCTTATTCTGTGCACCTTCAAACGTCGACACCTAACTGTCACACTAAGGGATAAACTGCACTTTATACACGGTCACGAAGTACTTTTAATCCATCACAAAAGTGTAGCTTTTATGTTTCAGCTGTTGCGTATAAATAGGTCACATTATTCATCAAGACTGGTGGAGACAATATTTCATACTAAGCATATTCGAAGGAAATGGTGTTCATGGTAGATAACTGAAAAAAACAAACATATTTTACAACAGTTCTGAGTGAAGGAACAATCTAACAATAGCTGCTGTTGTCTGCAGCTGTTTTTGATTACTATACATTGGCGTTCATTGTATTTCTTGTAACTACTGTGACAGGTAGGGCATTGTTGTTAATTATAGTTTAAATGTAAGTTTATTACCATCAAAACATGATTGTTATTATTGTATAAATAGTAGTGAAAACGGTAGACTTGTTTAGAAGTTCGTTTATATCTGTTTTCGTCTTTTACCTTTTTCTACTGAGCTTTATAGCCACAGTTTGTTTCGTGTTTAGTATTAATTGTTACTAAATGTGCCGAAGTTGATGATTAACTGAAAAACAATTGAAGGAGTCACTCATGTAGGCAATTAACGATTAAGATAACAACACAGGTGGTCACTAACTTTTCGTCGTCAGTAAAAGAATAGCTACCATACTGACAGTGTATGTGACGATATATTCTTTATTGTTTTCCTCCTCGTCCTTCGCCCCTTCCTTCCCTTCCTCCTAATTCTAGTTGTTGTTGTTGTTGTTGTTGTTGTTGTTGTTGTTGTTCTTCTTCTTCTTCTTCTTCTTCTTCTTCATCATCATCATCTTCTTCTTCTTCTTTTCTTTCTTTTTCCCCTCCTCATCTTCTTCCTCCTCTCTCTTCTTTTTCAGTTGCCTACTGGTTAAACTCATGAGATTTTACAAACATTTTAATGATTCGCATTTCACGACCTATATATGAAGGTGCAGTTGTTGAGTTTCCTGTCGACCCCCTGTCTAGGGTTCCTTTCCAGTGGCTCTGCTGACAGGAAAACACCGTTGACAAACACACCTAAACCAAACACTGGTTTCAAAATTTTTATTATCAAAGAAATAAACGTGATGGTGGAACACCTCAGAAGGGGTAGCGCTCCTTATTCTGAAACCAGGCCGCTTCTAACTTTAAAATCGCCTAGAGGCGCTTTTACACGTTTATGATATAAGCTCTGAGCCGCTACCACTCTCCCGGACAGCGCCAGCTCAACCCGCTGTCTCCTGATGCCAAAGACGCCATGGCACACTCTATATGTGGGTCCAGAGGTGCGTCTACGGTGCTAACGCCACAAACAATTCATGGTTTGGCTTTTAGTAACGAGTTACAACTATGGAAACAGTCTAGTTACTACCTTAAATGTAATACTGAGATACAAATAAAACACATGTTATCTACTCTGTAACGAATTAAATACATTTAATGACACTACGAACAGAACGCGTTGCAACTGATAACTACGATAGTACATTTCTACAAGTCAAAACAAACTAACTGTTCCTGAATCTAACACAATCTAACATCGGTAACACGTTTATTAACTACATCAGTCACAACCAAACAAGCGTCAAGCGTCAAGAGTCCAGAGTCCCTCCTGCACAATCTTTTGGTCTTGTCCTGCCAGCGTGAAGTCCTCTTTGCTTTGACCTGCTACACTGAGCGATAGCCCGTGTGTGTGTGTGTGTGTGTGTGTGTTTGTTGTCCATCAAGATAATGATGATGACCACTCTTTTTTATCAAGTATGAGTACGAAGATGACTGATGAGGCCGATGCGGACCCGAAAGGTTCTTGGACAGAGAGGACAGGGAATGAGTCTTGTGCCCTGCAGTCGCCTTTCTGTCCATCCTTTTCTTAACCAGTGTTGCTGTTCTGTTTGCTTCACATGTAGCTGCAGTGCCCTTGTGTAGAGTTGCACGCCATGCATTTCGGTCTTAAGAGGCAGCCTCCCAATTGGTGTCATTCATCCCAAATGCTTTGAGTGAAGACTTCAAGGTGTCCTTAAAGCGTTCCTTTTGCCCGCCTTAGGAACGTTTCCCATTTTGCAGCTTACCATAGAAGAGTTTGGGAGCCTGTGATCTGGAACATCATGGCCCAAGAGTAGTAATAAATAAGCGATCTGTTCGACTTCTGACTCAAGCCTGAGTTTGCAGATTCTCAACGCAGTGCACGAACTCCGAAGCACCTGCGAGGATTCTAAAATACTTTAGATATATTTTTAACTCCACATTTTGCCTGGGTAGCGCCGTTAGGCTACTCTTTTCGATTTCCAACTGCCAAGGGATATTTAACGTGCGCAACAATACACACGGGCGTCTGATCTTACAACACAGAAACCAGGAGAATAACTAGAAGTCCACGTGAAAAAATCCCAGCTTTTACAGGGCCCTCGACAAGGGACCTCTAGCACACGAGTCAGTAACAATGCCTCACCATCATGCAACCCCTACGCTTATCAATCTAAAGGGGAGTGGGGTGTGGGGATCAAAATAGGGTCGTTGGGGTTGCGTATACTGTGGGCTTCGATGGCCATTGAAGTCGCAAAAAACTGTGCAGTGAGAGTTTTTTTTTTTTTTTTCAATTTGTTTTTTTGTATTTGTCTCAATTTGAAGACATACAAACTGTCATCGTCACACCGAGGATATGAACGAGTGCTCCCCCGTCTACCAAGTGTTATATTTCCTTTAACACTTGCTTCATCACCACCTTCTTTTTTTCATCATAACCTTATGAGAGTGTCCCGGCTTTTTACAAAACATCGATGACTGCAACGAAAACGACCACTACCAAAGTATCGAAGATTACCGCAACATCCACGACTACTACAATATCCATATCACTATAAACTCACGACTACATTAACACCTACGACTGTAATATCTTTCTAAACTACCACAATATTCAGGACTACTACAAGATTCACGACTATCAAAATATCGTTGACTACCACAAAATCCATTACTATTACAACATCCAGGGCTACTACAAAACCACTACTACTACAACACCTACGACAACTGCAACATTGATGACTACTAGCATCCACTAGTACTTTAACATGCACGATTACAGCAACATCTACGACTACAATAACATCTACGATTACAACAACATCCACAACTACTACAACAACTACAACTGCAACAATATCCACTTTGACTACGCCATCAGTTACTACATCAGCATTCACGACTATTGAAACATGCATGAACTAAGACAATTTAGACTACTACCACATCATTCTCTACTTAAACAACTGCCACTACCAGCACAACATCCATCACAGCGCAATATCCACTACCAGCACAACATCCATCACAGCACAATATCCACTACCAGCACAACATCCATCACAGCACAATATCCACTACCAGCACAACATCCATCACAGCACAATATCCATTACCACAACATCGACTATAGCAACATCCACGATTACTACAACATTCACAGCAACCACAATATCCATGACTATTATAACATCTACGATTGTCACAATATTCACGACTACAATAAGATCCACGACAACCATAATATCCAACCCTACACAAACATACATGACTACTACAACATCAACGACTGTAACATCATCCACAACTACTACACATTTTAAGAATATTACAACATCCACAACTACCAAAACATCCACCACTACCACAAAACTCAAAACTACTACAACATCCACGACTACCAAAACATCAACGACTATAACAACATCAACTCTACCACATCTACGTCTACCACAACATTCACAATTAACTGCTACAGTACTCACAACGTGAAATACTTTGCTTTCCCCAGATATCTGACTGTTCAAATCCATCATAAAGACTCGGAAACATGGTGTCCATCCCTGATGAGAATAATGTCACCTTTCAGTTTCTGGGCCGGTCGGGGCTGAAAGTGTCCAATCTCTGCCTGGGTACTATGACGTTCGGGGAATCAAGTGTAAGTTGCCGGTCACTTCATTAAGTTTTATTGTGTGGGTTCTGGGACACCTTGGGAAAGGTAGTTGGGGGTGGGGGGGGGGGGGCTATAAACCTATTGCCCCTTACCAAGCATGTCGTGAGAGCCTACTAACCAGGATTTTGAAAAACAGTAATTTGTGTGCCTTAGGGAGCAGCCTAGTTGTACAACTCAACAAAAACTACAACAGTCCATTTTAGACCCAAGGCAGAAATAGGCATAGTAATAATGGTAGTAGTAGCAGCCCCAACAGCAAAAGAAGTAGAGAAACAATAAGTAGTGGCAGTAGTAGTTGCAGCAGCAATATTAGCAACAGTAGTAGTAGTAAAAGTTGTTGTTTTCCAGCAACAGCAGCAGCAGCAGCAGTAGTATCTCAGAAGCAACAGCAGTAGTAGTATTAGCAGCAACATAAATAGAGTAACAGTAGTAGTAGTATTAGCAGCAACAGTAATAGAGTAACAACAGTAGTAGCAACGGTAGCAGCAGTAGTATCTCAGAAGCAACAGCAGTAGTAGTATTAGCAGCAACATAAATAGAGTAACAGTAGTAGTAGCAGCAGCAGCAGGGCAATAACAGCAACAGTAATGATAGCAGTAGCATTAGTAGTGGTAGTAATAGTCATAGTATGAGGAAGTTCCATCAAGTTAACGCTTGTCAAAAAAACAAAAAACAAAAGACATAACGTTTCTGGCCTCTTAATAAGAACGTACACTTAACAGGATCGTCCTCCTTTTACAGAGTTACCCCTTTCTGACTTGGCTGCTCTCCGTGATACGAGATAGCCGCCTGAAGTGAATATCGCACATAACACGAACTCTGTCTTTCCAGTGACCATAGCAGTAATCTCCGATAAAAGAAAAGGAATCGTCGTTTTTCAGAATGCCTATTCCTTCGGAAGCCTTACACTCCATTGTGTTTCTCTCCCTGCCGCTATGAAGTGTAACGGGATCAAATATCCCAGTTTTCAGAAAGGATGCTGTGAATGAGCCAACTCTCTTCAATGCTCAGATTATTACGTAGAATGTTTTTTTTTCTTATTGGTCCATGGCGTTTTGAGAAAGTTTCCGTAACCTTTAGGTTCAAATACTCCAAATTATTTGTCTTTAGTTATTGGGTATCAATGACTCACATCTATATGGGGTCATGGAAAGATACTGACATAAAATAAAAATAATAATAATAATAATAATAATAATAATAATAATAATAATAATAATTTGAACATTTGACAGTGGGGACTGCCGGGTCAGAGCGACGAGGACCTATCCCACCAGATCCTCAATCGTTACGCGGAGTGGGGAGGTAACTTCCTCGACACAGCTGATGTCTACGGATTGGGAAAGTCAGAAACTATTGTTGGAAAATGGCTACAAACGTGAGTTTCTATGTATAGTGAATCTAACTGCTCTGTACATCAAATCTAACTACTCTGTACATCAAATCTAACTGCTCTGTACATCAAATCTAACTGCTCTGTACATCAAATCTAACTGCTCTGTACATCAAATCTAACTGCTCTGTACATCAAATTTAACTACTCTGTACATCAAATCTAACTGCTCTGTAGATCAAATCTAACTGCTCTGTACATATATTCTAACTGCTCTGTAGATCAAATCTAACTACTCTGTACATCAAATCTAACTACTCTGTACATGAAATCTAACTACTCTGTACATCAAATATAACTGCTCTGTACATCAAATCTAACTACTCTGTACATGAAATCTAACTACTCTGTACATCAAATCTAACTGCTCTGTACATCAAATCTAACTACGCTGTACATCAAATCTAACTGCTCTGTACATCAAATCTAACTACTGTGTACATCAAATCTAACTGCTCTGTACATCAAATCTAAGTACGCTGTACATCAAATCTAACTGCTCTGTACATAAATCTAACTGCTCTGTACACCAAATCTAACTGCTCTGTACATCAAATCTAACTGCTCTGTACATCAAATCTAACTACTATATACCAAATCTAACCACCTTATACATCTAACTAAACTGTAAATATCTATTTTAATGCCGGCGCCTATATGGCACTGCAACCTTAAGAATGATATACCTAGTGCTCACGCACAAGAAAAAGGAAACGCATCTTAATCTGATGTTGCCTTTTTAATAATTGAAGGGGAAACCCGTGCGCCTAAAATGTACCCGGAATCAGATGCAAAATAACTTTAAATTGATTGCCTAATGTACTAATGTGTGCAATTTAAACAAGTTCCGTCATTAAATGATATAAATTTTGAAAGTCAAAATTATGGCAAATGATATTTCTTTCATTAGCTATGCGCTTCTTTTTCCAGTTTTTTTAAGGAGTTGGTGTGTGGGGGGGAGGGGGGGGTAGTACTAAGCTCCAGCACATCCCGTATCCCCCCCCCCCCCCCCACTATCACACGAATGTTCAAGTAAAACATAGACATTGAGAATGATATTACTGTAGTGTCCGTTTGCTCCACATGTTCAACCCTTCAGATTACATGTTTAATCTACAGACAACCGAGGGACAAATTCGTGATCGCCACCAAATGTGGCTTCAACATGGGCAAGCAGGAGGACATCAACAACGTAGGACTGAGTCGACGTCGTATTACTGAAAGTATCGATTTAAGTCTTCAGCGACTGCACACAGACTTTGTGGATCTCTACCAGGTAACAGTAGTCGATTCTATACTGTTTAAAATTGGGGGGGGGGGGGGGGGGGGGGGGGGGGGGCTACTGAAAAGAACACTCAAACTCAGAATTTTTGACATTCTGCATCTTTGTAATGCAAAAAGTGAAATTACTAAAATCTTACACAAGAATACCCTGGGTTCCACCATTTGCGTCACGATAATTTTTAGGCGAACGACGTGTGTGCCCTCCTGTTGCCTGGATCGGTGTCTGGCATCTCCTAGGCATGGGTGAGATTAGTTCCCTTATATGGACTGTAAGTTGGCTGACCACTCTTCCTGGAGTGCCTGGAACAGATCTCCATCACTGTCTTGAGCAATGTCTCGGCGACAAACAAGTCTTACAGCTCATTCCACAGGCGCTCAATCTGACTTATGTCTGCAGACAGGGATGGCCAGGAAAGCGTTTAAATGTTATTGGCAGCCAGGAACTCTGTGGTCAACCGTGCAGAATGGAGCTGGCGTTGTCCTAAAAAAATTAAAGGTCAAAAAAATGTATTAGCATATATTTGCTCAGTCAAGCTTTCTTGGCGACTGGTTATCGACTTGCATGATCACGAAGAGTTAAAAAGAAAATAAAAAAAAAAAAAAGTAAAGGACCCTTTTCCACGCCTTAGGGCGTATAGGGCATCTAGGGCTGGACCTATATTTTTATAGACCGATCGGCAAAAGATGGGAGATGTGGTCAGTATCACATCACATAACGAAAAGTTCCCACAGTTAATCCGAAAGACCGGCCTGCGACCCAACATAGTCCTACACTCTGCGGAGAAACGACAGTTCATCCTTATTGAGTTGACCGTGCCGTATGAGTCACGATTAGGCGAGAATCACATGTATAGGCTCAATAAATAGAGTGACCACGCGGCTGGTCTGAGGAGAGACGAAGCGTACACCGTAAGAGGTAGGCGCAAGAGGTCTTATCTCCACTACCATGTACAATGTGATAAAGCAGCTAGGCTTGCCAGGAAACGAGCGCAAACGATCACTAAAACAACTGGGTGCAGCTGCTGAAAGGTCTTCAAGCTGGCTCTGGAAACAACGGAACATCGTGGGAGACGGGCCTCAGTAGGCTGGTCCAGGTGTCCAGTCGAAAGGAAAGTCTTTTTCCTTAAGTCCACCGTGTCTGAATTGTCTGCAAGTGTCCCTCTGCCAATTGCCAACAAAGTCCAACATGTATCCGATGAACAAACCTTAAGCTTGTCACTTGGTCGTTGAGGTTTGCCGGCTGATCTAATAGGCTACCGCAGCGACTATAATTATCTAACTTCGAATATCACATTACCCGTAGCATAGTGACTATTTTCCTCTTGTCCCTGTCCGAGAACACCCGGTAATACGTGCAGCAGGAACAGATCAAAGCCTGGATTCATGACCCAGGGTGGCCAATCCTCTGAAATTGTCTAGGAGTCCGTGAGCCGAAACAATTGTTGACGTGTGATCTTCCACTGACGATCGTTAGACTCCAGTTGTACAGGCTCTCCCGTGGAGTTCTTTTATTATTATTGTACCAATTTACTCCTTCGCTTGTAACTGATCTTTCCCACAACATTGCGACTCTAGTACCGCTCAGAAAAGCTTCATCAACACAATTGTGGGCTAAACCTTCATTTCGTGTACGGTAGACTCTATGCTGTCTATCATGACGCTGCAACGAAAACAAAGATTCGTTACCGAACCAGACACGACTCCATTGATTGTCATCTGACCAGGGACTATGCTGGTTGGCCAAAAGAAGTCTATTTTGGTGATGGCGAAGGACATGTAACTGGTGTGGTCGTCGTGCTCAAAGTCCGATGCCATGCAGTCTGTTCCTAAACGTTTGATCAGATACTGGACGTCCTGGAGGCACTGCCTGCGCGGTTGACGACGAAGCTGTTGTAAACCTCTTTCTGAGGTAAGAAAGCCGAATAAAGTGTTTCTCCGCTGCTGTTGTCACTCTTGGTCGTCCAGTGCGATGTGAGTCTTCAACTGAACCAATGGTTTTGAACCGGTGCCAAAGTCAACTGATGGTACTCTGATGCACGTTCAGAAACTGGCAACCTGTCTTTGAATTTTTCCTGCCTGCAATCGGCCAACAACAATATTCCTTACAATTTATCGCTAGAGGCGCCCTTCGTGACCCCTTGATAATGAACTGAATGTTTTGGTGTAGCGCTATTCTTTGATATGGTTTCAGTTGCGTAGGGTGTGAAGTGTTCACCCCAAATTACGTCTAAAGGTGTAGAAAAAAGTCCTTAACTTTTACTCATTTACTTACTACAGACTCACATCTTTGATGACGGCACCCCTTTGGAAGAGACCCTACGCACCCTAGATGACCTGGTGCGGGTTGGCAAAATCCGCTATATTGGTCTCAGCAACGTGACGGGTTGGCAAGTACAAAAACTGGTTGACACAACACAGAGGCTTGGACTAAACTCGGTTGTCAGTTTACAGGTGGGCATGTGTGTGCGCTCCTTGTGTGATTGTTGGGTAGGGATTTTTAAGTCAAAGAAATACACTGATTTAGGAGATTTATTGTGTGAAAGAGGTATTTATATAGGAGAAATACTGATGTTGAACAGAGGTAATGAGAATAGATGGACACAAAATAGCATAACCTGTCATGTCAGTAGTATTACATTCAAACAATATTCATAATTTAAAAATATAGTGATCGGCAAACGTTTGAAGAAGTAGAAAGATGGAAGTAGAATCTCAAGGGTTTCCCGTGTGTTTATTTCTGGGGATTGCTTGCAACAAAGTGAAACTGGACGATCGAATCTTTTTTCATTAAATATACGTGGTATTGTAGACGCGGCATCATGGTTTGATGTGTTTATAATTATTCTTGTGTTCCTTATTCGACCCAAGCATAGTTAGTATAAATTTATGTAGCCTAGGGCGCTGATTGCGGCGTCCGTGGCTAAGGCGTTGCAAGTCTGACTCGTAATCCAACGTACCGCGATCGAAACCTGCGTGGGCTGAGTGGATTTTTATCGTGGTATGTATATTTATCGCAGGTCGACCCGGCCTCAAATCGGTACCAGGATGGGCTGTCCTGGGAAAGTAAAGACGGCTGGCGTAATGCTGACCACATTACCCACCGAGTGCCGATTGGTCTGTAAAAATATGGGTGCTTTTCCCATATGCCCAATGCGCCTAAGTGCGTGTGAAGGGATCTTTACTTTTGGCGGCGTCCGTGGCTTAGGCGTTGCGAGTCCGACTCGTAATCCAGCGTACCGCGATCGAAACCCACTGCTGGCTGCGTGGATTTTTATCATGGTATGGGGCGTCGCAGGTCGACCCAGCCTGAAATGGGTACCAGGATGGGCTGTCCTGGGAAAGTAAAGACAGCCGGCGTAATGCTTACCACATTACCCACCGAGTGCTGATGGTCTGTACAAATATGGGCGCTCTTCCCATATGCCCGATACGCCTAAAAGGCGTGGAAAGGGATCTTTACTTTACCTTTTTTTTATGGCGCTGATTCAATGGTTTGAGATGAACTATGCCAGGATTCCATACTTGCTGGTTCAAGCTGTATGGCAGTAACGGCTTAAGAAGATAAAGTTTTTATGTGTGCATAGCTGATTATGCGTCTTAGTACACTTGTTTGTGTTTCGAAGCGGTTTCGTTATTTGTAGGTCACGGTTTTGATTCCCGGCAGGCTGAACTATTGTTTTCCATTTTCCTGTTGTTTAATAAGTCTTCTTATTTTCCTAAGTATTCATATGTGTACGATAAATGCATTGAAAAAAAAGGATATATGTTATGTAATGAGACTGTTTTATTATGGCCCAGACAAAAATGCCATCTATGAAGTAAAGCATGGGATCTAAAAAGCCAACGTTTACCTATGATCAGGCAACTTTTCATTGCCACTAGGTAAGCAGACAACAAACAAGCCGCCATTTTATTGATTGAGTCAGAGTTGCATTGTTACGTAATCAGCACAGAGCAAAAAGCTAACATTAAATTCTTTTTAAAACTCAGAAAATGCGCTATTGAAACAGTTGAATTAATGCAACAAGTTTTGGGGGATAATTGTTTATATCGTGCACACATTTTCAGGTGGTATTCCCGATTCAAAAATGATTAGTATTGCACCTAGACATGGATGCCAAATTTCTGTTCATATTTATGAACGCATTGCAAAAGTCAGAGGACAGATACAAGAAGATCAGTGTTTTACTGTGAGGATGATGACAGATGAATCTGGTGTTAATAGAGAGACAGTTTATAACATTTATATAAGGACCTGTTCACGTTTTCTGGCCCGTCTACAAACTTTCTCAGTCTGATCTAGGTCAGAGGCGTCAAGTTGTGCTGCAACATATGTCGCAGGCATTCTCTTTCTTCGGAAGAAAAACTTAGATACAAGACAAGCCAGAAAGAAATCAACACAAATCAACATCCGTAATCCCCCCGGACACCAGACCCGTCTAAAAAAATTGTGAATAGAACGTAACCTAGTTTGTTTATGGAGATTATCGTTGAAATTTAAGTTCAGCTTTCATGTACTTGATAGACCACATGCGTGACAAGGTCCTTCACTACAAATTTCATTCCTCCCTGACTCCCGAAACAGCAACAATACAACCTGCTTACTCGAGAGTCGGAGTTTGAGGCCTTCCAGGTGTGCAAGAATGAGGGTCTTGGGTTGCTGCCTTGGAGTCCATTGAAATGGTCAGTGTCTGTCTGTGTAATAGCCTTAGATTATTATGGATACCGTATCATATCGCTGACTGTTTGATATTGTTCTTTAAAAAAGTCCTTTCTTGTCACTTCTTTTTCTCTTTTCACCACTCCTAGAATGTCTCATAGCGTAGATCCGTTGTTCAAACCTCAAACCTCATTAAGGACTTGTCTGTTCTTATCCTCTACAATGAGTTCTATTTTTTTTTTGCATGGTTAGTCTTTTTATTGTCTCGTACGCTGCCTTGGTGTTGCCCTGTTTTAGATACTAAGACAGCCTAAGAGAAAATTTAGAAAAAGCGCTACAGAAGCTTAACACTGAAAGCGCAGCGGTAGGAAAGTGACTTCGTCATTGTTTGCTTGACGACAGATCTTTGGTTCTTATACGCATCCAGATGGATTCTTGTAAACATGACCTTGCACCCAATGGCGTATCGAGGTCAGGTGCTTTTTAGAGCAAGCAGTATAAGTCTTAAACGCCTAAAGGATCCTTATGCTTATATTTACATAAAACTACGATATATGTGTGACCAATGTAAAACATAATGAGGCTAATCTGAGCAACAAATGCCGGAAAAAGTCGGATGTGTCTGCCGAAAAGGCGCATATGTCACAGCCGTTATGTGAACGGGCACGACACACTGACAGCATTGTGTGACGAAAGAAGAGGAAGATATCTAACATTTTCTAGTTCTCTCTAAGGTCGTGAATGTAACTGACCCACTGAGCGTGTTGAGAAAGGTGGAGACAAGAACCCTCTGTGCAGAGATGCAAGCATCGCTTCAGAGTTCCTGACCTGTGCCGATGTTTTTCCTCAAGAGTTAGGAAATGAACGGGCATATTAAATGGCTAGTCCTTTCCTCGAAGTCGGAGTACATCTGCCGGAGAGGCGGGGAACGAGAACTGCAAACAAATAAGCCAGTAAAACGGATGTACACGCAAAACTCAGGTCAAGGTAAAAGCCAAAAGTCTATTTGGACGAACAACCGCGACTTACCGCCGGAATTCACAGCCGGTGAACAAGAAGAAGAAGAAAGAAGAAATGGCTAGTTCTACATCACTTGATAGTGAACTGGTGCATGAGAAGCTAGTGATGAAAGGGTCCTTTGGGAATGAGTGAGCTATGTGAAGGCACACACCGATCGTCACGGTAAGAATGTTGCTACAAGGAGTGACCAGCCCATGAACACTCAAGGGAAAGCTGAGTCAGCTGTACAATCATACAAACACTGGTGGTATTGAAACTGTAACTCTGAAGATGGGGACGGGGCGCTTAGGCGATTATTTTAAAAATATTATATATATTATTCCCAATTTAATATTCAACATTATCTTTACCTCTTCACATCTTTCAAACAAATATGCTATCTGCCTTATCTCAGGGGTATACTCACTGGAAAGCTGACCCGTGGGGTGACCCCAACAGAAGGTAGAGCAGGTTTCACACCTAAAGCATTCCCATTCATGTCTGACCTCACTGACCGAGCATTTGACATCGTGGACACTGTAAAAGATATCGCCAAGAAACACGGTACAGTGATTAATTAGTTAGTTACACTATGTAGTCTGATAAATTCTGTATCTGAAAAGTCCGACTGTCTGTGTCTGAAAATTCCGACTGTCTGTGTCCGAAAAGTCTGACTGTGTGTGTCTGAAAAGTCCCGTCTGTGTTGAAAAGTCCCACTGTGTGTGTCTGAAAAGTCTGACTGTCTGTGTATAAAAAGTCCCACTGTGTGTGTCTTAAAAGTTCCACTGTGTGTGTCTGAAAAGTTTGACTGTCTGTGTCTGAAAAGTCCCACTGTCTGTGTCTGAAAAGTCTGACTGTCTGTGTCAGAAAAGTCCCACTGTGTGTGTCTGAAAAGTCCCACTGTCTGTGTCTGAAAAGTCTGACTGTCTGTGTCTGAAAAGTCCCACTGTGTGTGTCTGAAAAGTCTGACTGTCTGCGTCTAAAAAGTCCCACTGTGTGTGTCTGAAAAGTCCCACTGTCTGTGTTGAAAAGTCCCACTGTGTGTGTCTGAAAAGTCTGACTGTCTGTGTATAAAAAGTTCCACTGTGTGTGTCTTAAAAGTCCCACTGTGTGTGTCTGAAAAGTTTGACTGTCTGTGTCTGAAAAGTCCCACTGTCTGTGTCTGAAAAGTCTGACTGTCTGTGTCAGAAAAGTCCCACTGTGTGTGTCTGAAAAGTCCCACTGTCTGTGTCTGAAAAGTCTGACTGTGTGTGTCTAAAAAGTCCCACTGTGTGTGTCTGAAAAGTCCCACTGTCTGTGTCTGAAAAGTCTGACTGTCTGCGTCTAAAAAGTCCCACTGTGTGTGTCTGAAAAGTCCCACTGTCTGTGTCTGAAAAGTCTGACTGTGTGTGTCTGAAAAGTCTGACTGTCTGTGTCTGAAAAGCCCCACTGTGTGTGTCTGAAAAGTCTGACTGTGTGTGTCTGAAAAGTCTGACTGTCTGTGTCTGAAAAGTCCCACTGTCTGTGTCTGAAAAGTCTGACTGTCTGTGTGTGAAAAGTCCAACTGTGTGTGTCTGAAAAGTCCTACTGTCTGTGTCTGAAAAGTCCCACTGTGTCTGAAAAGTCCCACTGTCTGTGTCTGAAAAGTCCCACTGTGTCTGTAAAGTCTCACTGTCTGTGTCTGAAAAGTCTGACTGTCTGTGTCTGAAAAGTCCCACTGTGTCTGAAAAGTCTGACTGTCTGTGTCTGAAAAGCCCCACTGTCTGTGTCTGAAAAGTCTGACTGTCTGACTGTCTGTGTCTGAAAAGTCCCATTGTGTCTGAAAAGTCGGACTGTCTGTGTCTGAAAAGTCCCACTGTCTGTGTCTGAAAAGTCCCACTGTCTGTGTCTGAAAAGTCGCACTGTCCGTGTCTGAAAAGTCCCACTGTCTGTGTCTGAAAAGTCCCACTGTCTGTGTCTGAAAAGTCCCACTGTGTCTGAAAAGTCCCACTGTCTGTGTCTGAAAAGTCCCACTGTCTGTGTCTGAAAAGTCCCACTGTCTGTGTCTGAAAAGTCCCACTGTGTCTGAAAAGTCCGACTGTCTGTGTCTGAAAAGTCCGACTGTCTGTGTCTGAAAAGTCCCACTGTCTCTGTAAAGTCCCACTGTGTCTGAAAAGTCACACTGTCTGTGTCTGAAAAGTCCCACTGTCTCTGTAAAGTCCTACTGTTGGTATCATAGCCGCATCTTTGCTTCGAATACTAATCCACTTTTGTCTGAGTCAGGGGAGTTAGGCTTTGGGGAGCTCAGATAACTTGAGCCACACCCAATCACCAAATACATGTTTAAGAGGGTTTAGAGATTGTGAAGGGGCTTCGCGAGTTCTAAGGTGTTTAGAGGGTGACGCCTCGACAATAAATTGTGAAGGGTCTTGGTGGGTTTAAGAGGGGGAGAGGGTGAACGCTAGGACAATAGATTGTGTAGGGGCTTGGTAGGTTCAAGAGGGAGAGAGGGTGAAGCCTCCGACGGTAGATTGTGAAGGGGCTTGGTAACCCCTTGCCATGAGTTGAATTTCTCTCTTTAATCATTTGTGTACATGTGTCGTATTTTTTCAAATTTTATTTTTAAATGATTCACTGTTTCGAACATATTAATAATATTATTTTTATTATTGTAATTAATATTATTGTACACTTAAATAAGAATGAAACATCGTTATTCTCATGCACACTAGAATTCATGATTGCAATCTGAAGATTATAGAAATCTCCTGGAGAAAAAATTTACTTGTGAACCGAGCGACGAGTCATTGAACGAACTCATGACTTTTAGAATCCGAGACAAACGGATGATCACGTGGTCCCGCAAATGCATTACGTAATAACATCTCTGTTCAACCATATGATACCGAAATGAGTTCACGACACCTTTCATTGAACAATATTTGCTGTGTATAAGTATTCCCCATGTATTTTTGTTTTTAAAAAAAGTTACGGATCCTTATCCACGCTTTGGGACGTTGTGCATATAAGGCTAGAGCTGTATTTGATAGACAAATCGGCACTTGGTGGGTTGTGTTTTCAACATCACGCCGTGTATAATATACGCCATAGTTATTTTTTTTTTTTTTAAATTTCTACAAAAAAAAAAAAAAAAAGTAACCACTGACTGACTTTCACCCTTACCAGGACGGCACAGAAAGCAATAAACACCAAGTGACACAGAAACCCGTTCAACCCTTAGGTTGAGGGCCCCTGACGACAGACGGGTTGTGTTTTAAAATGACAAAACAACACTGCGTCCCATGTTGGGACGGATTGTAATTTTTGTAAACAAATTGTATGTACAAGCCGACCCAAAATTTTAATCTTTAAAAAAGACATTACCAAAATAATAATAATAAAAAAAAGGGGCAAAAATTAAATAGGACAATGAATCGTCTTTTAAACTGATTTTTAAGTCCAACTGTTCCTTAAGAGTCAAGATATAATATCGTCTCCATCTCTAGGACAAACTGTCCCTCGGATAGCCATCTTATGGTTACCCTCTGACATCCAATTTTGAACTTATCAAGAAAAGATATAAAACCGAACGAAAAGTATATTAGCAAGCTTCACAATGTAACAAATACAAACAAAATGTGAACGTTGCGACTATGGAGTCTTCATCAGAACATACAAATCAAACAGTACCACACAAATGCACAAAATTACTTAGCTGGTATCTCAAAGCAGCCGAGTCTATGGTTTCTCAGCAGAACGTAAAATGTTTGAAACAACATATCTTCTTATAAATAATAACATATTGAGCTTGTTGCCCATTTCTATGTTTAAATGTTTTTTAAATGTCAAGTTATGTTATCGTGTCCATCTGCAGGTCGAAGTGTCCCCCAGGTGGCAATCCGATGGTTGCTTCAAAAGGACGTCGTGACTTCAGTGATCGTTGGAGCAAGAACCTTGCAGCAACTTGACGACAACATGGCAGCCGCCAACGGGTGGAGCTTGACTAAAGAAGAGGTACGTTGTATTGTGAACATGCTTTTGCCATGGTCATCACCAAGATCATTATCATCATCATCATCATCATCACCACCACCACCAGTAACCCAGTAGTTATCATTGCCTGTTTTAGCACTAATCTATTTCGTGACTATCACCATGACATGAGGTCCCGACTGCTGTGAACGATCATCGTCTTCTTCTTCAACATCCCGAGCCATTGAGGTTCTTTGCTGCAGATATCACCTGCCTCTACTCATCTCTCTGGTTGGTCTTCTTTTCCAGTTGGTGACACCAAGTGTTTGCTGGTCTATCTGGATATTATCTCTCCATTGTCTTCTTAGGCTGCCTAGTGTTCTACGACCATCCATCTCCCTTGTGTATACAGTTTTTACTTCTCTGTCTTCTGACATTCTTTCAATATGTCCCAGCCATTTCAGTCTATTAGCTCTCATGATGCCAGTGATCAATGGTAATTTAAACAGATTATAAATTTTGTGGCGGCGTCCGTGGCTTAGGCGTTGCGAGTCCGACTCGTAATCCAGCGTACCGCGATCGAAACCCACTGCTGGCTGCGTGGATTTTTATAATGGTACGGGGCGTCGCAGGTCGACCCAGCCTAAAATGGGTACCAGGATGAACTGTCCTGGGAAAGTAAAGACAGCCGGCGTAATGCTGACCACATTACCCACCGAGTGCTGATGGTTTGTAAAAATATGGGCGCTCTTCCCATATGCCCGATACGCCTAAAAGGCACGAAAAGGGATCTTCACTTTTTAATTACTTTTTTACCTATGAATTTTGTTGTTGCTTCTCACTATCCATTCACCGCAGTTTGCATCTTTGATGGGTCCAAAGATTCGTCTTAAGACTCTGTTTTTTGAAAACCTGTAATATGGTTTCATCTCTTTTAGTTGTGCTCCAAGTTTCAGAGCCATATAAAACAGACACTTTGACTTTAGCAGATGTTGAAGGGCATGGTATACATTATTTCCAAATTGTATTCTAGATTGTATTTCTTCTCTCAGCAAGTTGGAGCAGTTGAAGTTTGCACCCAAGTACATTATATGTTTCCGTTCGTTTGGATTGTTATATTATCGACTTGTATGTGGCCGGAGTTTATATCATTTTCCTGTCTAATTATTATCATGTATTCTTTCTTATCTTGTTTGATGACTAGTCCTATTTTCTGTGCTGATTCTGTTAAAGATCACAGTTTTAACAGTCTCTAGTTCAATTTCTCTAACGATATAACTGTCATCAGCATATCCCAATATTCTTGTAGTTTCTCCTATAGAAACTCTTGTGGACTCTTGTGGAGGATCATGGTTCTCCACAATGTGCGATCTTTACAGAGAATATATCAGTTCATGTGCTGAACACACCAACTATTGACCGTTTTCTTTCTTTATTAGAACGTGTTGTCCTCACACCTTTAAACATATCTAGGCTGCCCTTGTTTAATGTCTAAGTAATTCTAAGGATTTTTCTGCGAAACCACATCTCAAAAAGCTTGTTTATTAAATGCCCGATCTTCACAGTCATGTGTTCAAACTGACTCTACATAGCAGGCGATGATGTAACCTCCAGTGTCCTTGAGTTATTGCGTAATAGGTTGCTCATATTAAACACATGCACTTTTAGCCTGTCCTGTTTTGTTCCGTGGTCTAGCCGCTAGACGTTAGGCCTGCGGATCAGGATGTCGTGGGTTCGGTTCCTGACGGGGGTCGAATTTGTATCAAAAAATGACATTGGCTCCCAGGTCGATCCAGCTTTGAGTGGGTAGTAGATGCAGTCCTGGGAAGTAAAGGCGGCAGGCGTGATGCTGACCACATCACCCACCGTGTGCCGTTTGGTTTATAAAATATAGGTCTAGCCCTATGTACGTAATGCCTCTGAATGGCATGAAAAAAGGGTCCTTTGATTTTACTTATTCTGTTCTGAATGTGTGTGATACATCTTACAAGAAAGCGACCCATACGTTACTGTGTGTATACATATGCTTGTATATATTGTGACCCAAGGCAGCAGACTGGTATCAACGGAGATCATTTGATCAGGCCTAGTCACAATAGGGACACGAAGAATATTTCAGTAGACAGACCGATTAGTTTGGTTAGCTTTGGTTTATAAAACAGATGAACATCGTGACAAAAAGATACTAACCCATTAGTGTTTCGTGTTTTTTTCTAGCTTAAGCTTGAATTCAAAGAATTTCAGCGCTGTGCACGACCCCTCAATACCGATGAGAATCCTGAAATACCTTTAGGTAGATTTTTAACTCCAAATTTTGCCCGGGCAGCTCCGTTGGGCTGCTATTTTCAATTTCCAACTGCCATGGACTTTTTACGTGCACAACAATACAAACGGGCGTCTGATCTTACTACCCAGAGACGAGGGGAAATTACTACAAGTCCACGTGAAAAAATCCCAGCCTTTACCAGGGCCCGAACCCTGAACCTCCAGCGGGGGCCATGCATCGAGTCGACTCAGGGCCCTGAGTAAACTGGACGAATAATATTATACTGCATTGCAATATCCTGTGGGGCCTGACTGTTGAATGCTGGATGGTAAATTATTCAGTTCTGAATTTTCGTCCACTTCTGGACTGTATTCCTTTTCCAGAAACTGATTGATGCGTGCACATCGGTTTCGCATGTCTGATTCATTTGCATGCAGACGTTTAGTGTCCTTGCTTCGCAGGCAGATGCATTGCGACTTCGAAGGAAGATCCCAGCTAGTCGACTCCTACGACATGCTTGTTGTGCCTGCAGTGGGTCTGTTCTTGTTTTTCCCATATTGGAGTTCTGGAACCCACAAGGTGATAATGAGGAATTAAAAATCGAGTTCATAACACTCAGAACATTCCCACAAGCACTTTGTCCCGATATTCAGCAGCATGGTATCTGTAACAGTATTATTGCTTATCCGTCTGGCTGTTTCCTTGAATGTTGAGTTTTTCTCCAATTCCATAAACGCTGTTCAAATAATTGAAAGACCTTTATACACGCCTTCATTTGTACAGAGCAAATAGATTTCAACCTATGTTTCATAAACGAATCGGCACTCGGTGTGGGATGTGATCAATATCATGCCGGCGGTCTTTATTTCCCAGGTCTTCACCTGATACTCACCGAAGGCTGGGGGAGACCTGGAAAATAAGTTCGTTTTTGAAAAAAAAAAATGTTTGACTCCGTTCGAACTCGAACTCATGACCTTCGGAACCAGTGTTGTCCCTTTTCTTCGACAAAAAAAAAAAAAAAATGCGTGAAAAACATCTTAAAAAAAAAACAAACATCCAAATGGAAAGAGTCACAAATTACATAGCAATTGATATGACTTAGCCTATAGAATCATGTCCTCATCTTCACCGATGTCTGTCTCACAAGATCCACAAAATAAACTTAGCTTGGATTATGAAGTTAAAGCTTCAGATCCAAAATGACTCTGGTATGCTTTAGCTGTTCCACCCAAATAGGGAGCTGATAAGTGGAACGGCCTTTTCCTACTCTTATCAGGCAAAATTTTATTGTCAAGATAGTATTTAAGAGCTCAAATTTCATCCTGTTTCTCAGGTTAGATTTAATAAATTCACTCCGAATGCAAAACATCTAGAAAAACATCTACCATCTACTGTCAAAAACGCCATCTAAATGCAAGGGGAAACATCTAAATCTGGATGTAAAACATCCAAAGTGGCAACACTGTTCAGAACCTCAGCGAGCGTCTAGACGCTACACTACGGTTGCTGTCCTGTTCAGATAGTGACATTTTTACTATTAGTGACACCAAGTAAAGATATTACCAAATGATATGGTTTTGATTTCAGATGCAGCGACTGGATGACGTGTCTGCCCCTAAGCTGCTCTACCCCTACGACATGGTGTTCACCACGAATGAGAACCGTCGTAACCCGACCACCAGCAACTTCTATGTCAAGTCGACACTTTAAACACCACTCTTTAGGGGCGCCACAACCTCAGGTCTTAAAAACTTGAGAAATTGTGTTTTTTAGGGGGGTTGGGGAGGGTGGTGTGGCACCCCAGCCACTATCGTGTTCTTTGATAGCGTTTGATTTCGAAATGATGGACATGGTGTTACAATCAGATCATTAAACTCTGGTGGAAGGTTCTGTCTGCCACTTCGGGGCTTAAGTCTCGTTCTAGAATTTGAGTTCTGCCTGCAGATCTGGCTTGTTTGTATGGGTACTCTAGGCTCCAAGCCTTTAGGAGATTCACTCCAACTTCGAAAATAAATACCCCTGTATTCCCTCTTTCTCTCTCACAAGGGGTCGCCTAAGAACATCGGAAAACACATATTCATTGAAGCTATGAAGGAAAAAAATTGTCTGTGGGTTGTCACAACATAAAGGAACTGTATTAAGGGGTGGCAGCATTAGAAAGGTTGAGAGCCACTGGTCTGGGATATTCGAAGAATATTTATGTAGCATTTTAATCTAAAAAAAAAAAAAAACCTCCTGTTTTCCTCAGAAATTGAGTTGCAGTCCTTCTGATAACTTTGCCCCAATACGGGAGGCCAATTCTTGATATTTGAAAGCCCTATCGCGGCTGTCGTAGTGGGCCCTAATATAATTTACCGGTTGAACGGGATTTTCAGGGCTTGTAACCGGGTAATTCTTATCCAAATGGTGGCCCTTTGTGTCACCAGGTGTTTATAGCTCTTTGTACTGGTGGTGCGGTTAGTTGGGTGGGGGAGGGGGGGAGGCGCCCTGAGTGCTGGAGGTCCCGGGTTGGTGAAGGCTGGTATTTTTTCAAGTGGACTTCTAGTAATTTCCACTGGTCTGTGGGTAGTAAGATCGGATGCCCGTGTGCATTGTTAGGCACGTTAAAACATCCCGTGGAGATAAAAATCTAAAAAGAGTAGCATATATATCTATCAATCTATATATATATATATATATATATATATATATATATATATATATATATATATATATATATATATATATATATATATATATATATATATATATATATATATATATATATATATATATATATATATATATATATATATATATATATATATATATATATATATATATATATATATATATATATATATATAATGGTTTAGCCATTATTCTGTTCTTGAATAAAAAGAAAACGAAAATAATGTCCACAGATAAAACTGGCTGTCACCCAAAAATAACAAAAAAATGATGAAGCGATTGAAAATGTCACAAACTTTGAATATCTAGGCTTTCAAATAAACAACAATGGAGACTGTTCGGCAGAAATTAAAAGGAGGATGGCCATAGCAAATGCAAAGATTAAACAGCATTGAAAGTCTATGGTTAAGCACCAGCAAGGAGATACAAATTTTGAATTTTGAGAGTATGCATCTTCCCTGTGGCTACATACGGATGTCAGTCGTGGACTATGTCTCAGTCCTTAAGAAAGAGAATATGTGCTTCTGAGCTGAAATGCTATAGAACGTTTCTCAGAATATATTGGACAAAGAAGATAAAAAAAAATTGACATCTTAAAAGATCTGAACATCAAGGAAGATTGGCTAATAAACAGCATCTTTTCTCGAAAGCTGAAATATTTTGGTCATATCAAGCACCACGACGGATTGGAAAAAATTATAGCAGAAGGCATGGTACCAGGAAGGAGGGACGAGGGCCGACCGACACGAAGATGTGCACAGGATGTAAGTGACTCCTTAAGTGTGAAAGTGCATGAGGCGGGAGAACTGGCGAGAGACCGAGTTTCTTTCAGGCAGACTGTGATGAGAGCGACGTTCTGCAAAAAACCTGCTGCATGATGATCATGCTGATGATGGTTTAGCCATTAGATGACAATGATTCAACTGATGTCGACAACCAAAGCTTACAATATGAAAAGAAAAAACACAACGGGGTAGGGACGACCATGAAGACTGTGGATTGATAGTCATTGATATCTCGAGACTCTACATCCGTCTAGCATACCGGCCAGCCGAGCCTGCTCCTGCTCGGAAACCGACCATCGATTAAACTCCGACCGTTAGCGGTACAAAGCAGGAAATGGACAAAAGAACGAATTATTGGATATTGTATATACAGACAATAATTATTGAATGTGGGCAACAATTATTGAAGGACTAGACGACAATTTGCAGCTTGTTTTATAACGAAACATACCTGCTTTTTCTTTATGTTATGATGAAAAGTCTTGTCTTGGCTGCGTCCGAAATTAATTGCTTATCAATATAACATGAAAGTGGGTTATTTTTTTTTTTTTTCAACAGCCTTACCTACAACTTCAGGAGCTAGCCTTATATTTTAGAAACCAAACAGAAATCGGTAGATGATGTGGTCAGCATCACGCCCGTCGCCTTTACTTCCCAAGAATTTACCTTATTCTGCCTTCTATCTCCCAATGGGGTATAGGCCCTCAACCAATTCACGCCAAGTCATTCTATAAGATTTTACCTGGCACCCATGTAAAGTGGCTTCCACCCGAAGCCAGTGTATTATCGAACGAAAAAAAAACTTTTTGGATTTCAATACCCAACCTTGGGATGCGCAGACGAGCGTCTACCCGCTACACCGCGACTGCACCAATAATATTTTTAAACTTGTGCTTTATTAAAAACAATTTCTTTCAAGGTTTCTTGGTGATATCGTTTATTTTAGAAAAACGTCAAAATCAAACAAAAACACACTCACATGGTTATTTGGTTTCAAGTATAATTTTTCACACAGTCATCCTATAGATGTGCGGACCCTTCATCTAACTTCTTCAAATCTCTTATACATTCTTTGTACGGTTGTGCATACTGTCATGTCTACTCGCAAGACAGCATAATATCTCTTTATTCTGAAATCTTTTAGTTGCCTCCCCCATCTCCTCCCCCGACGGGCCTTTGATTTTGGATCCTCTTAGAAATAAGGAATATTACCTAAACTCCGATGAAACGTGCTGTCGACTAGCTACTAAGGTGAGCGCATAGTCAGACACTGTGAGCTGCGTTTTCTATTTTGAGTGATTTTCTTGGGGATAAACATGGTTTGTGTTGTGAACTGTTAATTCAGAAAATGACCTTTCGCTGGAGAAATAGTGATCCCTTATGCGATTATGTGCGTGTGCTGCTGCCGATTTGTTGGACTGCCATCGATGTTAAACTGATTTCTAATACCAGACTGTGTGTGTGTTTGTTGTAAAGCTGTAATACTTGATTAACTTACTTTGCTAAAGAAGAAAAGCTGTAGAAGTCACATTTCACCTTAAGATATATATAAATCATGAAAGTTAAACATCATATTATCAGTTATACTGGCATTTTGCTATAGTGTCTTGAACTCAAGTTTCAGTTTGTACACCTTTCTAATTCATGATTGGTAGCAGGTACGTTATGTTGTCATTTAACTGCCAATCAAGGCGCTGTATTAAATTATCTCTTACAAGGCCAAATGACTGACACACAATTATACCCGAGGCTGAAGACATACCAGTAACAACATATCTGACACCGCCCTTCTGTGCGTTAAGCTATTTTAAAATAAAGCGAGTGTGGTGATGGCTCTCGGGGACAACACTGACAGTGCAATACAGCAGTCAGGGAGTCAATACATTGAATGATAAAATCTTCTTCTTCTTCTTCGCGTTCACCAGCTGTACACTCTGGCGAAAAGTTCTGGTTGCTCGTCCACTACTGAACTGCAGTCCTGCTCCAGAACCTGAGTGTTGCGTGTGGATAAGTTTTACAGATCTCATTCTCTTGAATACAGACTGTTGGTTCCTTGCCTCTCCGGCAGATGCACTCCGACTTCAAAGGAAGCTCCCTAATTAGTCGACTCTTACGACATGCTTTTTGGGGAGGCAGTGGGTCTATTCTTGTTCTCCCCACAATGGGGCCCCGGAACCCACACGGGGGATTGAATGATGAATTCAATATGGTAGGGAGGGGGTAGGATTTGGGAGAAAGGGAGGGGGGGGGGCAGAAGAGGGTGAGGAAAATTCTGGAAGGTATTTAGCGCTAAGAGAGAGAGAGAAAGAGAAAGAGAGAATGAGAGAGAGAGAGAGAGAGAGAGAGATAGAGAGAGAGATAGAGAGAGAGAGAGAATGTAGGGAGCAGGAGCAAGGAATATTATATAAGGGAGAATATTAATCAGGTTGTAAATCATACTTTTGAGTGCAGTTGGCTGCCCCTTGCCGGTCGTGCAGATACGCTGCGACTTCTAAGGAAACCCACAATTAGTGGACTACTACAACATGCTTGTTGGCGGAGCAATGGGTCTATATATGTTTCTCCACAATAAAATCCCCAAACAAAAATGGAGTATCTTAAAGTTTAGTTATAAAATCAGTGCAAGTGTCCTCACTGTTAAAGAGCACTTGGCCGAGCCATTAGAATGCTGAGCTAATCTTTGTCTTCTGCGTTCACTATCTGTGACCTCCTTAGTCTGTGTCCTGACTATTCATCAGGGTCTAAACTTGGTGTTACTCCGGGACTTGTTGCGTGCATGTTTGTTTTACGTAGGTAGCTATTTGTAATCAGACTGTTGGTTGCGTGCATCTCTGGTTGATGGGCTCCGTCTCGAGTTCTTCTTTGTCCTCTTTTTCAGCATTCCAAGCCTCGAAGTTCATTGCCACAAATATCACCTGTCGCTGTGGATAGCCTATACAAATAGTATGTTTACACTGTATATTAAATGAAATGGGAAACAAATGAATTGTAGAAATATCGACATTAAAAGAAACCCTAGGGCGAATGTTGTTGGGAAAGCCAAAGGTGCTGTTTTGGATTCCATCCATGATATAGACAGTAATAAAGACGACAAAACGGAATGGGGGATTAGTCCATTGTGAAGTATATCTGCACAACAGTACCACGATGATAACGGTAAACTTGATATAAGTGACAGGGAGCTCTCAAATACCCAAACATCAATGACTCTAGCAATGTTTTCATTGATAGAAACAAAACTATCAAGCAAAATTT